CCGCTGCGGGCGGTGGGCGTGCCTGCCTCACCTTCATCTGGGGTGGCCAGGAGGGGCCCAGACTGTGACTCCTGCGCTCTGCCCGCGACCACCCCTGCCCCATCATCCCATTGCATAGGTTTAGCGAGAGCACGTGTGACCACTGGCATTCATTTGGGGGGTGGGGGATTTTGGTGGAAGCCCCCCAGCCTTAGTCCCCGGGGCCAAGCGCTGGGGGGGAAGATGGGGAGTCAGGGAGGGGGGGAGTCTCGGAGGAGGGAGGAGTCTGGGAGCGGGGAGGGACGGCCCAGCCTGTAAGATACTGTATATGTTCTGCTGTAGATACCGGAATGAATTTTCTGTACATGTTTGGTTAATTTTTTTTGTACATGATTTTTGTATGTTTCCTTTTCAATAAAATCAGATTGGAACAGTGGATGCCTTTGCTGCTTGCCCTTCCTGTGGCCTGGCCTCACCAGGTCCCAGCGTCTGGTCAGAGGCTCTGGGAGTCCCGGCCATGAAGGGGTGGGAGACGTGGTCCCAGCCAGCCGGGGCTGCCGCTGAAGACGGGCTGAGGGGCACAGCCCCCAGTTCCCAGGCTCCAGGCCGCGCCCAGCCACCCTCAGCCCCACTGACTCCCACTGGAGTGAGGCCCCTCGAGGGCAGGGAGCTTTGGGGGCTTTATTCTTACTTGATCCCCAATGGGTAAAGGATGTTGTGGACTTGATATTTAACAAATGAATGACCCATAGCTTTTATTCAGCGGCACCGCTGTGCCAAGTGCTGGGGACATGTTGGTCACGAGACAGCCCTTGTCCCTGCCCTCACAGAGGCAGAAGGGGACATCTGGCCTTGCGCTGTGATCGGCCTTAGGCCGCTGCTCCAGCTGGAGGAACACCTGGAGCTGAGAGCAGTGAGGCTTCACCTACACGGACGGCTGTCCTCGGCCGAGCTCCGCCCGGTGTAAGAAGCTATGTTCAATGAACATACAAAGGGAAGCTCCAGGCCCGGCGTGTGGCTCATGCTCGTAATCCCTGCATTTTGGGAGGCTGAGACAGGAGGACTGCTTGAGGCCAGGAGTTTGAGGCCAACCTAGGTAACATAGCGAGGCCATGTTGTTCCCTGCTGCCCAACACCAAAGAAAAATTAGCCGAGCATGGTGGTGTGTACTGTAGTCCTGGCTACTCCAGAGTCTGAGGTGGGAGGATTGCCTGAGCCCAGGAGGTCGAGGCTGCAGTGAGTCATGATCACACACAAGCAAGCCATTGTGATCCAGCCTGGGTGATAGAATGAGACACATGCTGTCCTGAGCCCTTTCCCCGACCGGACTGGCACAGGCCTCGGTGAAAAGCAGGCTGTCCTCACTTGAGGAAAATGGCCCTTCTGAAAGGCCAGGGGGTGCAGGCAGGAATTTGGCAGAGCAGCATGCTGTGGTTTGGATGTGACCCCAAAGTTCAAGTGTTGGAAACATAATCTCCAATACAACTGTGATTAGAGGTGGGAGCCTTAAGAGGTGGTCAGGAGCCAGGCATGGTGGCTTGCGCCTGTAATCCCAGCACTTAGGGAGGCTGAGGTGAGACCGACTGCCTGAGCCCATGGGTTTGAGACCAGCCTGGGCAATGTGGCGAGATCTCATCTCTACAATAAATCAAAAAATATGCCGGGTGTGGTAGAGCGCGCCTGTAGTTCCAGCTCCTTGGAAGGCTGAGGCGGAAGGATCGCTGGAGCCCAGCAGGTCGAGGCTGCGGTGGCCGGAAGCGTGCCAATGGACTCCAGTCTGGAAAACAGTAAGACTCCAACTCAAAAGAAAAAAAAAAGTGATGGGGGGGCTGGGCGCCCGTGGTGGTTCATGCCTGCAATCCCAGCACGTTGGGAGGTCAAGGTGGGAGGACTGCTCAACACCCAGGAGTTTGAGACCAGCTAGGACAACATAGTGAGATCTTGTCTCTACAAAAAAATTTAAAAATTAGCCAAGGATGGTGGGATGGACTACTGAATTTGTAGTCCCAGTACTTGGGAGGTTGAGGCGGGAGGATCACCAGGGCCCAGGAGTTCGAGGCTGTGAGCTGTGATCATGCCACTGCACTCCAGCCTGGGCAACAGAGTGAGACACTGCTTCAAAAACAAAACAGGCCGGGCCTGGTGGCTCAGCCTGTAATCCCAGTAGTTTGGGAGGCCGAGGTAAGTGGATCTCCTGAGCCCGCAGATTCGAGACCTGCCTGGGTAACTTGGCGAGACCTCATCTCTGCAATAAATAAATTAAAAAATTAGACGGGCACGGTAGCACATGCCTGTAGTTCCAGCTACTTGGAAGGCTGAGGCGCAAGGATCGCCGGAGCCCAGCAGGTCAAGGCTGCGGTGGCTGGGAGTGTGCCACTGCACTCCAGTCTGGGAGACAGAGTGAGACTCCAACTAAAAACAACAACAACAACAACAAAAACACAAAACAAAAAGCAAAAAAACCCCACTAAACACAGAAAGGTGATGAGGTCCAGAGGGCTCTGCTTTCATCCTGAGGAAGAGTTAGTGACTGCGAGAATGGGTTCCGTATCAGAAACCAGTGGCCCTCTGTCTCCCTCTCCCATGAGATGCCTTCTGCCACGTTACAATGTAGTAGTAGGAAGGCCTTCTCCAGACGCCAGACCCTCTGTCTCAGCTTTCTCAGCCTCAGACTCGTGAGCCAGTAGATCTTTCTTTTTTTGAGTTGGAATCTTACTCTGTTGCCCAGGCTGGAGTGCAGTGGCACGCACACTCACGGCCACCCCAGCGTCGACCTGCTGGGCTTCGGCGATCCTTCTGCCTCAGCCTTCCGAGTAGCTGGAACTACAAGCTGAGCCTCCGTGCCCGGCTGGATTTTTAATTGAGAGGGGATTTTGCTGTTGTTCAGGCTGATTTCGAATTCCTGTGCTCAAGCAATCCTCCTGCCTAGGTCTCCCTAGCAGCTGGGATTACAGCCAGGCACCACCATGCCTGGCTTCTTTGTGTAAACTTTAACTAGTCCTTCCAAAATCTAGCTGCTTTTGTTCACTCTCTGGAGCTATGAAGTAGTTGGTGTATATATATATATATATATATATATATATATATATATATATATTTT